TCTCTCTCCCTTTCCCTCCCACCTCTCATCCCTGTTTAATGTTAATCTTCTTCTCATGCTCTTCATCCCTACTCCGAAGTCCATATGAGTGATATGATTTTTCCCAACCTTTCACCTTCAGCCTATGTATGTCTTTTCCTATCAAATGCGTCTCCTGTAGGCAGCATATTGTTGGGTCTTGTTTTGTGATCCATTCTACTAGCCTGTGTCTCTTGATTGGTGAGTTTAAGCCATTAACATTTAGGGTTATTATTGAGATATGGGTTGTTCTTCCAGCCATATTTGTTTATTTATGTTACTAAACATGGTTTGTTTTCCTCTTTGATTATTTTCCCCCCTTTAGTGTCCTACCTCCCACTGTTGGTTTTCATTGTTATTTTCCATTTCCTCTTCCTGTAATGTTTTGCCGAGGATGTTTTGAAGAGATGGTTTTCTAGCTGCAAATTCTTTTAACTTTTGTTTATCGTGGAAGGTTTTAATTTCATCTTCCATCCTGAAGCTTAATTTCGCTGGAAACACAATTCTTGGTTGGAACCCATTTTCTTTCAGTGTTTGAAATATGTTATTCCAGGATCTTCTAGCTTTCAGAGTCTGTGTTGAAAGATCAGCTGTTATCCTGATTGGCTTACCCCTAAATGTGATCTGCTTCCTTTCTCTTGTAGCTTTTAAAATTCTCTCCTTATTCTGTATGTTGGGCATCTTCATTATAATGTGTCTAGGTGTGGGTCTCTTATGATTTTGCACATTCGGCGTCCTGTAGGCTTCTAGGATTTGGGGTTCTGTCTCATTCTTCAAGTCTGGGAAGTTTTCTTGTATTATTTCATTGAATAGATTGCTCATTCCTTTGGTTTGAAACTCTGTCCCTTCCTGTATCCCAATGACTCTTAAATTTGGTCTCTTGATGTTATCCCATATTTCTTGGATGTTCTGCTCATGGTTTCTTAACAGTCTTGCTGAGCTGTCTATGTTCTTTTCAAGTTGAAATACTTTATCTTCATTGTCTGATGTTCTGTCTTCTAAGTGTTCTACTCTGCTGGTAGTATTCTCAATTGAGTTTTTAAGTTGGCTTATTGCTTCCTGCATTTCTAGGATTTCTGTTTGTTTGTTTTTTATAACCTCTATTTCCCTGTATAGTTGATCTTTTGCTTCTTGGATTTGTTTATGTAATTCATTGTTGAAGTGTTCTTTCATTGTCTGATTTTGCTGTCTGATGTCTTCCTTGATACTCCAGATCATCTGAAGCATGTATATCCTGAATTCTTTATCTGACATTCCATCTGCTGCAGCTATTACCTCTTCTAACATTGAGTTGACCTGCAATGCTTGTGGTCCTTTCTTTCCTTGTCTCTTCATACTGTTCGCGTTCCTTTCTACTTGGTGAAACTGTTGTGCTATTGAATTTTACCCCTATATATTTATATTGGTCTTGTATGGTTGCAAAGTCTCCCTCGCAGGCGCGGGCGGCGGCTCTGCCCCTCCTCCAATTGGGGCAATGTGCCTACCAGGCCGCAGGGCCTGCTCTGCCGGTCGGTAGCAGGTCCACCGACCTTGCAGGCGCGGGCGGCGGAGAGCCAGTTTTTTGCCCCCTCTGCCACCTGTATTCTCCTGCATCAAACACCCTCTATGCCTGAATTTCTCTAGTTTCCTCGGCACACTCTGAGCTTTGTGGTGGGCATTTGCCAGGTATGGTTTTGGGACCTAGCTTAAGCACACAGGTCCAGACTCCCATTACCGCCCGCCACTGTAGCATGGTAGGAACATGCCACGGCCATCATGTGTGGCATGTTTTCCACCCTCTGGATCAGTTCGACAGTGTCCTTAATCTCTGATTTCTCTGTACCAAGACACACCATAGTGCCATGGTGCCATCTTAGATGCAGGTTTTCTTAGTCCCCCTGCTCCCTTTGTCCACGGTGGATCAGGTCTAGCAGCTGCCAGCACTGGTGTTGGCTTTTCTTCTTTTATTTTATTAGACCTAAACATCTGAGTCCCCAAGCTGTTCTGAGAGTACAGAATTAAATCCCAGTAAAGACCCTCTTTCACTTACCTCACTGAGAAGTTACTCATCTGCTTTCTTGGTCTCATGCCATAGAGCAGCTTGGTCAGCACACTTTGCTACTCCACCATTTTCCTGTTCTCCACAAAATTCTAGATTTTAAAGGAGGGTTGATGTGCTCCTTTGTTCCCAGAAGCCACTTAGGAATCTGTGTACCTTCTTTATTTATCAGTTCCTTGTTTATAAATCTTCCATTACTGCCTCCTCTTCCTAATTCCTTTTATTGGTTGACTTTGAGGACACAGCTCCAACTTCCTCAGTGATGTCAGTATTATGATCATCTACACTCCACACCATGTGATTAAAATATTTCTCCAAATTCATGAATTTGAGTTTCTAATGCTAAAAACTTTTTTGTTGTTATTGTTGGTACCAGGGATTGAGCCATATCCCCAGCTCTTCTTGTTTTTATTTGGGGACAGAATTTTGCTAAGTTGCTTCAGGGCTCACTAAGTTGCCAAGGCTTGGGTCAAACTTGCAGTCTTCTTGCCTCATCCTCCTGAGTTGCTGAGATTCCAGGCATACGCCACCAGCAGAACTGATTTTTTAACTTCATTATCAACCAAAGTCATTCTAAAATTTTAAATACCGAAAACCCTTCTTTTCCTTTCTCCTTTTCTCTGACAACTAAACTGTTCTTCTCTCAAATTCAAATATTCCTTCATTCTTCTAATGTTCCTTAATCTGTCTTCCCTTTCATTCCCTCTTTCTGCCTTCCTCTCTCTCCCTCCGTAGATGGCTTTGCCATTGGATCTGAAATTCTTCAGCTTTATTCCCTAGTACACAAAATTTTTATCTATCTTCCTTCCTTTGCTTTCATTCTAATCACAAAGAATTTTCGCCTCTTTAACATGAACTAGTAGAGTTCTCGTCTTTTCCTTGATTTTGCCCCATATATCACTCTTCCTTTCCATTTTTTCCATTTACTAGCATTAAAAATGAGTAAAAAACCCAATAATAACAACAAAAACTTAAGTTCACTTTCTTCAGCTTCATTTTCAGACTATACTGGACTTCTTAGAAGGGCAAACTTATGATTAAGTTATAATTCCACCTCTCTCTTCCCCACTTTTAAATATCCCAACTAATAGAATTTTCTATTCTCCTTTACTGCCTTTTAGAAGAATCTTTCTCAGTTCACCATATGTGGTAAGTTCTTCTTGGTCTTTCTTCCCTAAAGAGGCAGGACAGTGCATTCCTTTCTTTTGTTCTTCTGTGACTTCACTGGTTGCTATCAATCTTTTGTGGCAGGCCCCTCCTCAAATAAATAGACCATTTAGGAGATGACCAAGCTATTGCATTGAGTGAATGCAGTCAGAGATACCATACAGTTGATTATGGAGTGGTACCTCAAAGAGAGAAAACGAGTGTAGTATTTTTCTTTATTACAGATGGTCTCTGAAATTCTAGGATAGGATATCAGAAATGAAATGAGTTGTTGGATTGGTTGATTTCCTAAGACTGTGATTGATACAAACAACGAATAAAAGAAAGATCCATTACAGCTGAAGACAGTATAACTGTAGGTTGTTGATTGTTCCAGTTCTCAGTTTTGCATAATTGATTGGATGGTTATTCTGGTTCTCACTTTGAAGCACTTCTTCAGTGACTTTTCAACACTTAATTCCATTGCAACAGTTGTCCTTTTTTTTTTTTTAAATTTAAATTTATATTTTGGTTGTAGGTGGACATGTACCTTTATTTTATTTATTTATTTGTTTGTTTGTTTATTTATTTATTTATATGTGGTGCTGAGAATTGAACCCAGTGCCTCGCACAGGCTGGGCAAGCAATCTACCACTAAGCCACAACCCCAGCCCCAAAATATTAAATGTGAGGCGGTTGAGATTAAGTTTTTCACGAGTCTATTTCTTTCTTTCTTTTCTTTTTTTTTTGGGAGGGGGGAGGTAGTACTGAGGATTGAACCCAGGGCCTTGTGCATGCTAGGCAAGCACTCTACCAACTGAGGTATATCCCCAGCCCCCCCCCTCGCCCCCTTTTTAATTATATTTTGTTTTTATCTTGACCATTGCAGTAGCAAAAGATCTCATTGCCTATAGTAAAATAAATGTCTGTGTGTACCTCATATGCAGTATGTAGTTTGACTTGTATTTAGGCCTTGGATACACTGCCTATTGAGTCTTCTCACAGTAACTCATACTCTAAAACAAAAGCCATATGTTTAAAATACAAATTTGAATGTATTTTCTACTGAATGTGCTTTTTTTTGTGCAGTACTGGGGATTATTCCCAGGGCCTTGTGCAAGCTGGAGAAGCACTCTCTCGTAGAGCTCCATCTCCAGCCCTCTACTGAAGCCACATGTGCTGAATCTAGTATTTAACCTTCTACAATATGACTTGGCTTCAACTCAAAATTCTAGTCCTTATCTGTTTCTTAACAGTCTCTCTGTTGATATTCAGTCCAGAATGCAGAGCCTTCCTACATTTTTCCTGTAGTAATAAACTCTCTCCAAAGTTCCATAGTGCCTTGTATCATTTGCAGCACTAAGTCTGTCTTGATTTGGAGTTACTCATATTAGTCTTCTCTAGAGGTTTATGAGTTGCTTGAGAATAGGAGCTGTCTCTCCCTTACTTTAGTATCTTTTTGCTGACTGTAATACTGAGGAGGGCTCAAATGTTGACTAAATTTTAAATAATTCAGTTTAAATCAGGCTTAAATATCTAATAATATATTTCACCAGTTTTTAGGAGATTGACATAAAATATGTGAAGGAGAATATTGTATCTTCTATTTTAGAAGTCTCTGAGCACAGCTCAAGATTTTTATTATAGATTTTTAAATTATGCATAGTATAAGTAATATCAGTTTTAAGGTACCTCATATAATTCTTTTATGGTCTTTCAGGTGTAATCATCTAATTGGTTTCTATAAGCAACAAATCAATCCTTTTAATTTCATTACTTCCATTTCATTTGTTTTCAGATAAAGATGAATGCTGTGTGTCATGTAACACTGAAGTTTTGAAGTTGGAAGACATTTGCTAAATCAAATCACTCAAGTAAGTTGACTCACACCTATCTTAGCAATAGCTCAAGATTTAAAAACAAGGGGCTGGGTTGTAGCTCAGCAGTAGAACGCTTGCCCAGCATGTGTAATATACTGGGTTCTATCCTCAGCACCACATAAAAATAAATAAACAAAGATGTTGTGTCCTTCTGCAACTAAAAAAATTGTTTTAAAAAGAGAAAAGATTTAAAAACAAACAAGTCCACCACCTTTGACGCTTCCTTAATAATAAAATTTTATGGAATATCTTATAGTGATCTTGTATATTGAATAAGAAGTCTTTGACAATAGTGGAATAACAATTTCATATTACATTTTATATGTTTTTAAAAATATAATGTTTAGGGGCTGGGGTTGTGGCTCAGTGGTAGAGCACTTGCCTACCACTTGTGAGGCCCTGGGTTTGATCCTCAGCACCACATAAAAATAAATAAATAAAATAAAATAAAGATATTGTGTCCAATTACAACTAAAAAATAAATATATAAAAAAACAAAATAACATTTAAAAAATATATATAATGTTTAAACACATTGTATTATTTTTAAAGGGAGACTACCACCTCAATTATCCATGTATTTGTAGCAAGTTCTAGTCATAAAGTCTTAACCAAACAGCTAAACAGTGCTTTTAAAATGGTTTTTCTTTTGAAGCTAATATTTTGGTTTTTATTTTTTAAGTTTTCATACAGTTTTTCTTAATGATTTCTACATTATTATAAAAGGAAGTAATTTATTAACCAGCTAGCACATGAACCTTAAATGTTTATTTGGTCAAAAACCTCGCTTGAAAGATTATCTTAACCAACCTCAACTTTTAAAATCATCTCTTCATGATCTTTCTGTATTCATTCTCTTTCTCCATCTTGTATTCTGCATAAATCTGCATATAGAATCACTTTAATAATTCAGTTCCTTTGCCTGGCATTCAAAACTCCCTACCATGCTCCTAAAACATCCCCCAGTTGAGCCAACTGGAGTCTCCTATTCTCTAAACTCACATATCCTTCTTTGTCCTTAAATTGTACTATTTTTCCTACCGGAAAAATGATTTTCTGCTTTTGCTATTTCCTTTGCGTCTTAAAATCTTCTACAAATCTCTCCATGAAGTCTTCCTAGGTACTCCAGTTAGAAATACTAACTCTTTCCATCTCTCTGCTGACTGCGTCTAATGTTTTGTTTTTTATCACTATTAACAGCAGCTTTATTTGTGTCTCTTATAGCTCCCATCCTAGGTTGTAAGGCTGTATAAAGTAAAAGATCATGTCTGATGAATTTTGTCTCCCACAGTACTCAGGATAGCCTTTAATAGTGTTCAGTAAATATTTGCTTAAAAAATTAAGAATGTGCTTGGCTTTCTTCCCATCATCCCCTCTTTCATCCTATAGATATGTACTGTCCATGTTAATGCCAATTTTCATTCTTGTAGTCCATTCCTGGCTGCCCTTAGTAAGATACAGTCATTCCCCAACCTAAGAATAAGCTATATTCCAGAAGTTCATATCTTAATTCAATTGTTTAGAATGCAGAAAGCATTTTTCCACAAAAACAGTGCTATAAATATTGGTTTGATTCTCAGCCAGCTCTCCCAAGACTGTTTAACTCATAAGTACCTGTGCTACTTCAGTTACAGGTAGACTCCATGTATAATGATGTTTTGTGTCATTCTGGATATGGAAGTATGTCTCCCATGCACTAGAAACAGGACATGAACCTGCTGAGCTGAGCCAGAGCTTCGGTAGTGATTCATATTAGATACTCTTCTACTAGTAGCTTTTTAGTTTTCGGTATTTGCATTATAGACATTTACCTACAGTTTACTAATACCTTTATGTCGTCTAAATTGAGAGGAAAAGAGCACTTGCTCTTCTGAACCTCCCCATAGTGAGTTAGGATGGGGCTTCAGCTGGCCTTTCACATTGGTGGGCCTTTTGTAAGGTTTTGATAGATCAGTAGCTCTTTTACTACATACTGCTTTCTGCTCTTCTACAAACAACAGATTGCATACACATAGAAGATATATAAACATAGAAAGTATATAAATATGAAAAAATAACTTCTTTCTATAAGGAAAAATACATTTATTAGTATCACCCCTAAATTTGACATCAAATCAGTTTTTGTGAACAAGTGATTATCTTTTCTACATGGATATAATGATGCCTCTAGTGACAAAACATGCCACTGTATGAATAAACAACCCTTGAGGTTGACAGTTTAGGTTGTCAGGCTGTAAGAAAAAAACACTTCATAAATTTCAGAGAACTTAATTATTCAGTCATCATAAGTATTGAGCCCAGAGTATCTACTTTATGCTTAATGCTGCTGCTAATGGTAGGGGCTAGGGAGTGGAAACAAAAGATGTTGTGAAAAGTTTGCCTTCCCTCAGGGGCCTGAAATACGAGGAGCAAAATATTAAATATTCACAGTGAAAACAATGTTATTAATTGCCATAAAATACTTTAATCCTCAGAGCATTTATTATCTTTCTACTGAGGATTATCAGAATTGCAGCGTCATTAAGATTCACTATGGTTCTAAAAATAGTGGTGGGATTTCACTTAGTTTTAGAAGAATGGTGAAGATGTAAATAAAGAGCTAGAAAGGAAATGCTATTCCATGTTGGATTAACAGCATGCAGAGAGGATTGGAGACATAAACAAACAACAGTCATTAATGGCTAAAGCTCAAGAGTTAGTTCATATTGGGTGAAATAATAAGTGGGAAAATTAGATCAGTGGTTCAGCCCTGGCAGAACCTAAGAGTCATCCATCTATTTTTAAAGCTACAAGTCCCTGGATCTTCCCCAGAACTATTAAATAGAATTTCTGGGGCATGGGGCATAAGCCTGTTTATTTTTAAAGCTCCCCTAGTGGTTCTGATATTCAGCCAAGGTTGAAATCCCCTGAATTAGAAGGATGGGCCAAATTTAAGAGAGCTATGAATCCCCTGCTGAGGAGTTGGGCCTCTGTCCCTCAAGCAGTGGGAAGCCTTCAGAGGTTTCTGAGGTGGGTGACATGATCAGTTTTGTCCTTGCCAAGATAAATGATTCCTCAACTATATGTGAATGGAAGAAAAATAAGGAAAAGCTTGAAGTAGAGCAATGGTTATGAGAAAAAAGAGCCACATTTTTAAGTATAGTTAGATGTGTGGGAGTTGGTGATGTCAGCCTTGACCTCAATGATTTGTTTTATAAACTGATTATACAACTTCACCCTTATTAATTTGGTCTTTTTTCTCTTATGACCTGGCAACTTAAACAGTAATTTCAGCCACTTTGCATTTAATGGAAAGAGATCATGGTCTACTCAGGTACATGTCTAATTCATAATAGTAAGTGAAGTTATATGTATGAGGAATATGACCTTCAACACAATCATTATAAAGCAATCAGGAACCTCCCGTATATGCAGTAACACAACCCCAGTCCTACAGAATTGTGCCAAGAATCAGAGTCACATATATAAGGTAGTTGTTGACTCACAGTTCCCTAGCATTAAGTTGAAATTTGAAGAAACGTTCTCAATCATCCTATGCATTTTAATATTTTTAGTATTAAATTTGATAATTGCTTAGTTTTTTGCTGGCAGATTATGTGAGGCCCCTGACTAAAACACCAATCCATATTCTAAGCTTACAATTCTTTCTCTGCCCATTTTTGTAAAGAGAGCAAGCAACCTGTGGGCTCCCATTAGTTCCATCCTCTGATGTTATCTACCTGTAAGTGCCTCCAACTCATCCTCATCCAGAGGGATAACTGAATCAGCAGAGTGGAATCTTCAGTGGAGTCAGAATTTCAGTTCTTTTGCGGCACTGATCAGCCAGATGATCCTGGCAATTCTTTTGCTTCTGACCCAAGTGGCACATGATAGCTCCTAAGGTGTACAAACTCAAACCACACCATAGGTTAGAAACATTTCGTATCTCTTTGATGTGTTTGAATTTTTTTATTTGAAGATAATTAGCCATATTTATTAGACAGCAGAGAATAAGTTCAAAGCCTGAAGTTTTGATGTGACCCACCTCCCTCTACAAAAGACTCAACATCATGAATTTTTTAAAAATAACTACTTTCTCAGTTATTCTATAATAATATATTCAACAATTTCTTTGACCTTTTTTGCCTTAACAATGAATTTATTATTGTTTTATCAATATCTTTATACTTTGAATTACTTTTGTAATAGATATGTAGTTTTCACTCATCACCCAAATGTTTAAACAGAGAATGGATGGTTTGCTTAGAGTTGATAGATTTGGTAGAAGAGAGGAAAGAGAAGGCAGCTAACATTTAAAATAAAAGTCAAGTGCTATATCATATTCTTTACATATATTTTGTCATTCTAATTTCATTTCACAAATGAGGAAATTGGGATTTAGAGAAGTTTAAAAAACTTACCTGAGCCCAAAGTCAGGTCTGGCTATCTGTGGAAAGAGCTTAGTCTTGTAAGTTTTCATGACTTTTATATGTGGGAGAAATCACTGAATGCAGAATGAGAAGGTTTGAATATAAGCCTCACCCTTGTCACTAATAACCCTGAAACAAATTATTTAATGCTTGAGAGCATCAGTTTCCTTGTCATCATAGGAGTTAACACTCACTTTACTGACCATTTTGGCTTGTTGTGAGAAAAATTGGCTAGTTAGATTCAGTATGATTTTATACACATAAAAACCCGTGGAAGTGTGATAAATTCTTAATTCAAGCAAATAAATAAACAGAACAAACATTAAATGAGATGACTTGAACCGACTTTGTGGTTTTTCATTACTTAGTATTGCTATAAATTTTCCAAAAATAATGTTCATCAATTTTGCAAATCCCAAACACTGTGGTGTGCCAAACTGCATCACTGTCCATTTAATATCTCAGTGTAGCCGAGAGTCTCCTGGCTTTCACTTGCCAGGAGCAATCATTAGTTTCTATGCTCTATTAACTAGGTTCGACCCCCAGTAGATGCTCATTGCCAATGAGGATTGTTAGGCAATGTGA